GGTTAATGGCCTATGCTCCAACCGGAGCTAAGGGAATATATTATATATATATATATATCCCACCCCAGGGGAGGACATCCATCACACAGTAATCTCGTGTGTGGGAAATTAACGTCTCCTACCCCAACCCTGCAGGAGACGGGACCTCCATTTATTCGTCCCTATCCGAGAAGACTAGAATATCTAACCATTTCTTGATGTTATAGAAAGGTAGCAAATTCTTCTCAATTATTTTAAGACCCTGAGTGTTGGTCCGGCCGGGGCTCGAACCTTCGACCTCCCACACAACAGTCCAGCGCTCTATCCATTGAGCAAATCAGGAAGAAGTTACCTTGATCTAACACCAAATTCTTGTAACTAATTTACAAGGAAATGTGTAGCAGCTGGATGGGGAGAATTAACAATCAGATCTTGGGAGTAAATCATCTACTTTCTCCTTACAATATCACCCTTAAATCAAACGTGATGGTCACAAGAAATGATCACCAACTTAAGAGCTCTTGATTGTTAAATGAAGTCTCTTCTTCAGCACCTTATTTTATTTATTTATTTATCTATTTAATAATGTGTCAAAGGCAAGTAAATTTACAATGGGACAAGGTTGTCCACTACGAGGTAAATTACCTTACCCTATCCCCTAAAAGCAAACAAAATTGAAATCCAACCCACTTACAAGCCCCCATGCTAAAAAGAAAACAATAGTTGGTTAACATGTACAAGAATTAAGAGCATTGAAACGACGACATTAATTTTACACAAACTAAGTTAAATGAACGGATGTCGTCTTGATTGAAAACTTAGGTAATGTATAGAGAACAGTATGGAGAATGAGATAGAATAAATATATGAAAATCATATATTTTTTTGAACTGCGGTATTTGATACGTATGATGCACGATCCTCGCAGTAGATAGCGCTATTAGAGCGCTGCACTAGTATCGCAGAGGTCAGTGGTTCGAGTCCCGTACAGGCCTGATTTTTTTCAGGTCTGAATTTCGCTTTTGCTTAATAGCGCTATCTACTGCGAGGATCGTGCATCATAAGTATGGAGAATATACAAACTGATGATTGTTTAGAGTGTCAAGGGTTATAACCTGTTGTATAATTGAATCCTTGAATGAGTTATACTCCTGGAGACTTTGCTGTTTTTGTTTTTGACCGGTTGCTGTTCCATCATTGCAGGATGCAACAGAAGATGGTGAGGTGAAAAAGGTCAAAGGATGCTCAAATGATGAGATACTGGCAGTACTAGGGCATGAATTGGGTCACTGGAAACTTAGCCACACTCTGAAAAACCTTGGAATCTCACAGGTGAACTTCCAATATGTCTGCCATCCTAACAGGTCGTTTGCATATACGAGTGAACATGTCTGAGCAGCATCTTTCCAGATTCTTTCAAGTAATTCTTTTGCACCGATACTCTCAAAGGGAAGGCTCTTTGGCTATGTTGTAATGAACTTGTTCTTTTGATCTTGTAGGTGAACACATTTTTTTCGTTCATGATGTTCGGTTTTCTGATGCATAACAAGGCATTGTTTGCGAGCTTCGGTTTCCCCGACTCACAGCCCACAATGATCGGTCTGGTGATCATAAATCAGTTTATGTTTTCACCTTACAATGAGGTATGTATTACTAGTGATATGGATAATGGCAATCGGACTGAGTGGAGTGCAATTTGGTCTGTAATCAATCGCATGATTTAAAAATCGATCGAGCGCGCAGCGCAAGTCCGATTGAAATCACAAGTATGATTTGGGGCCAAAATTGCATGACACAATGCTCAATTGCCACCTAATTGCAACAATTTTTAAATAGAAAAATACAGGATTTTATTCTGTAAAAATAATATATTGATCCAGCACTGAACCGGTTCATAAAAAAAAAGCAAACTTCGCCGCACAAAGACTACTTTGTGTGTCTGCTGCCACTATTTTTCAGCGATTTGATTGGTTATTATCAACCCCAGAGCTACTATTTTTCAGCGATTTGATTGGTTATTATCAACCCCAGAGCTACTATTTTTCAGCGATTTGATTGGTTATTATCAACCCCAGAGCACTTCTCGTGTAAAGTGGGTAAGTTGCCAAAGAAATTGTGGTGTTGCGTCGGTGGGGGTAACAAGGTCATTTAGTTTTATCGATTGGCTACCGTAAATGGTTTCAAAGCTGACGTTTCGAGCGTTAGCCCTTCGTCAGAGCGAATTTAAATGATCAACTAAACTGATAAAATCAAATTACCTTGCACTTCTCGTAGACTACAACATTTGCATTTGAGGAAGGGAATTGGAGAGGAAGTAGATCTTTGAACACTATCTCGCACTAGTTTCAAGTGATGATAAACGAAAAGTGTTTTGAAAATTGTCATATAAAAGAGAGAACATTTTCTGCCGCCTACGGTAGTATAGAAGGTAGCGAAAACGTTTTCTGACAAATGTAAACGTGCTACAGCTTGAGAAGTTTTTGCTGAAGCGTACGTCTAATATTCGATCAAGTGCGGTCACGATATCGAAATGGTGACGTCACTTTCCTCTCCTCTGGTTTTTAAGTTACTAGGTTTTCTGATGACCGTCCTCAGCCGAAAGTTTGAATTTCAAGCCGACGCCTTTGCAAAGAATCTTGGGTTCTCCACATTTTTACGTTCAGCCCTGGTAAAGCTTCACAAAGACAACCTTGGGTTTCCTGTGGCAGACAACTTATACTCGTTGTTCCATTACTCACATCCGCCATTGATTGAGCGGTTGAGAGCCTTAGGAATCAAAGAAGAATGATGCGATAGCCACAGTAATCAGCAAGTGAAGTGACCCGTGGCACCTTTGATGCTTGAAAAGAAACGACTCCTGTCTGTCTTAAATCCTAAGTTATCCTTCCTACGTGTGTTAAACATCTATTGGCAAGCTTTAGTGTATCATTTTAAGGAAGGTTGCGCTGGGCCGTGTTTGTTTTACAGACACTCGGCTTTAAACTGAGAAAAGTATTACATGAACTTACTTGGCTGGTAAGCTTGTTGTTGTCTGTAACAGGGTTTTGCTGCTTCCCAGTCAAGTAACTTGATAAAAAAACAATCGCACCTTTCTCTTTCTAGCCGAGAATAGGACGACATCCTTGAATCAAAAGTCAATCACTTGAGTCTTGTAACGCAAAAACTGCCTGGTGTAACTGCACATCTCTGACGCAGGCGAGTTTGCTTCCGTTTGGGCTTAAAGTGCAAGGATGTCGTTGGCATCTTCACCCTGAGAAACTCAATATTTTTGTTTTCTTTTATCACAGCTAAAGAGCTAACAAAGGGTACAAAGAGTAATAAATGCATTTCAGACAGCTCTATATTTCATTGAGAGGACCCCATTTAACTGTCATTCTGGGATAGTTTAATACATTGCGTGGAGTAGTGATATTTGCTTGCTGGCGTGCCTGCTTGAGTCATTGACTCACTGACCGACCGACCAACCATCTTACTCACTCGCTTATTTACCCACTTATCCACCCACGCATGCTTGATGTGAACGGTGCCTGCTCGATAGTCATTTTAAGCCAGAGGTGTTCCCTGGGATGAATTAGCACAAAGGTCGTGGGGTAATGCGTTTGTCCTTTTTAACCAGAGTTGATTTTAGGATGTAGTGGTAGCGGTTTGCTACTGGTAAACTAACCTTGTTCCACTTGAGCGAACGTTTTCGATTGTAACGCGCTGATTCCAGGTAGTAGTCGTAACAAGGCTTCTCCATGCTAACAAGATTACAAAAGAGAGCATGCTGGGTAATTTCCGTCCTATGGCGCGATTCTACTTCTTTTTCTCTGTTATACACAGCTGTAAATTCTTTTTTTATATATATTTATCGCATTGAGAGAGGGAGGGTAATTCAACGGTTCTGTTTCTGATTATTCCGAGAGTCACGGCCGGCATCTGTAGCGCGTACTGACTGAAGTCAGTCTTCAAAAACGACAGCGGTCGATAGCCGCGCTTTCTCGACCATTTCAAGTAAACTTGGTATGTACCCGGTTGGAAAGGTTGATCGACCAACTGACCAAACCAACCTAAAACGGTTTTTCGCACTCAAACACGCACAGAGTCGTGAAACCTAAAACGGTTCATCCTAAATGATTATTTGTCACGGATGAATAAAGCGTACCATCTCTGAAGCGAACTTAAACGTGCACTGGGTGAATTTCTTTTATTTGTTCAAATGTTGTTTCATCAGGCTATGGTTATGAATATTTCTATTAAGGAGGAGCTGAGAGCATCGTAATAGTAGTCCTATAGCCATATCTCTTGTGTTGTCATGAGATTTGCAATCTTAAAAGAGCTGAGGGTGGTTCATCTAAGAGTCTTGCACGTAAACGTTTGCAGATACTGCTTACTTATGTTTGCAGGAACTCTATAGGAAAATTAATTACTGGACTCGTGAATTCCGCGTTAGATTGCAAGTGAAAACCACTGGATATCGCACGAATCGCGAAGCGATATCCCACTGCCTTAATTAAAAATAGACGGGTTTTTTCCTATTGGCACACGCAAGTTCATATCAAAACACCTTCCCTGATCTGAAAGGGCCTGTCCATTGACTATTTTACTTTGATAACTACTTTTTTCACCTACTTGAATCGGAAATAAACTGTTTTCTTCAGACAACGAGTAAACTGTAGGCAGGGTCAATTTTGGCACTGTGTTATTTGCTGTTGCGTTTGATCAGCTTAAGCTTCTTTATTTTGTTCCTAAACACCTGTCGTTCTCGAGATGGACGAAGCTTTACCTCCTCTGTCACTGAACCGTCTCCACAACCAGGAACGCTTTTTTTTGAATAACTCCCTAAATGCCTCTTTGAACTCTTTACTTGTGATATAATACACAAGCGGATTAGCAGAGGAGTTGACCACAACGAATAATGTTATTTGGCCCATCAACAGGTTATAGTAAGGGCTGGCCCAAACATTGGGCTTGATGAGCACTAAGATTCGAAAGGCGGTCAGCGGGAACATTGTCACGGCAAATAATACAACCAGTGGCGTAAGAATCTGTCTTGTTTTGTTACTTTGTCGCCATATTCTTTTCCGAGATCTGTTGTTGTTTTGTTCAGCCTGCGACGAGAGAGTTTCTTCGTTTTCATCGCCAGCTGACATCGACTGTCGGAACACAACGCTACGATGAATGCGATTCTTGATCTTTTTGTACGTGAGAGCGATAACAGCTAGAGGAAGGACATACCAAACCACAATAAGAGCCACTGAATAAGACAGAAACACAGCATTTCCTCCGTAGAAGTCTGGCCAGTCGGGGTAGCACAATGGAATCGAGGGCTCATAGGTAATAACGGTATATAGAGGAACGCATGATACTAAGAATGAGGCCAACCAGATGCCCATGATAACCAACCAGGTCGTTATCCGAGACCTGTGCTTTATCCGGTATCGTCTAGAGCCAATTATATTCTGGTATCTCTCGATGGCAATTGCTGTAATGGACCAGATGGAGGATCCAAAGAAGATCTCCTGTGTAGGAACCATGAACAAGCACGCCGGCTTTCCCAACACCCATCGAAATGGACTGAGGTATTTTAGCACAGCCACAGGATAGATTAATATCAAAACTCCTAAGTCTGCAACGGCCAAGCTTAGCAAGTAATAATTCATCGTCGTCTTCATCCTGGGGCGTCTGAGAATTACAGTGCACACCAGGAGGTTGCCAATAACTCCTAGGAATACCACAGTTGACCACAGAGTGACTTGGAACACAGTGGCCCCCAGTGGCTGATGGAGGTACTCTGGAAACACTGGTGGCGGTGGCGGGCTACTTCCACTCACTGAAGTTGTGTTGTGTGTTTCGTTGCTAAACGTGCGCTCCATCTCTATCATTTCACCTCACAGCTGCAAACGAAACAAGCAATTCAAAGCTCGGTAATTTATACGCATTCTTATATTATTTACATAATGTGAACCATTCTCTTAAATTTGCGAAAATAATCTTGCGATCATTTCAATCTGGTCACTTGCGACCTTCTTCAACCTTTTCACCATTTCACTTCTGCGACCTTCCGTCACTCGCCACATAGCAGAAATAAGCTATCTTTCCTGAAGAACTGAACTCTAAAAAGTAGCAGAAATCGAGCTTAATTTTTAAAAGGTCTCATGTGATATTTAATCAAGCATCAATAGTCACTAACAGGAATTCTGCTCCCAAACTTGTTCAGAAAACCTGTTGGAAATCGTGACTATTTAGAGAAATGAAGCAAAAAAGATTATTGCGGTCTTGCTTGAGCTACATTTAAAATAAGATTTAAATAGTTGCGCAGTTGTTAACAACATATTTCTTTTCCTATATTTTCTTTAACACTGATGTAACGATTATACGAAAGTGATGAAAATAAAATCAGACTACATCATTTTGTTTTGCCTTAGCCAGGAACGTTATGTTTAACTACTGACAAACTGAGGTATTTCTGGTTCGCGTGAACAATTTCCTAATTTTGAATAATATTTTGACAACTGAACTCAGAGATTAAAAATTTAGAGCGACCAAATTCAACATACCTCTTAGGTTCTCACCCCAAGCAAGGGTTACGACTGTTCAAATGAATTGGATGACAATGACAGTGACAAATAGTTTGGTGTGTTGGCAATATATTATAAATGATTTCTTAACACTATTTTGGTTTTAGCCAATTAGAGTCTTTATTGGCTGCTCACGCGACCATTTTCAGTTGATGGACACGCAGCTGTTTGTTTTACATAGTGAACATATATCATACTCAAAATTAAAAGGATCGTAAGGGTGGGCGGCGGAGTTGAAAAAGGCCGCAGATGGATTTATGTGTACATGCTCACATAAATCACTCTTTTAACTCTACTTTTTCTTTTCTTTTTTTTTTTTCGTTTTAACTGAGCTTCAGTAATAACGACTGTTCATCGAAATCCCCCAAATTTTGATGTCAGGTTTTGGATTGTTAGCAGAACTTGGTGGTAGAACGTTTATTGGAGAACTTTTAAAGCAGTTTTTTATTTACTGTACTAGTACCTCTTAGTAATAAGAACACAAATAAGCAGATAGATTGGATGCTACAGGCAACAATAAAAAATTCCTCTTTTAAACGGAAACGTTAACTGACGATTTCCATATTCAATAAAAACATTCCCAGAGGTTTACCTTGACCTTGAATCATGGAATCTTTGATCCTGTGAAACGTAACTAAATTCATTTTTGCACGCAACACTTTATTACCTCTTTTCCTTTTGGAATTCATGGTTATGAACAGACTAATGCAAAGAATTTAATTTAATTGCGGTTTGAATGTTAGCGGGGACGTAAACTGGCTCTTTTATTTGAAAACAGTTCAAAAAAATTTAGACAAGATGAAGGCCGGAGGTTTACTGGTAGGTTTTATATTTGAGAAATAAGTCATTGCAAACGACTTATTGCTTTTAAGAATATAAAGGAATCAGGAATTTTAGATATTTCTATTTAATGAATCTCTTGGTAAAAAAAAGAAAAGAAAAAAACTTGGTTTGTCTCTCAGCATGGCGGTACAATTAGTCGAACTAAACGGAAATTAGAAAATTCTTTCGAACCACAGCCCATGCAATTTCGTCCGAGCACCCCTCTTCTCTATCAATGTTGAATGATTTTCCTGAAAATCATTTTCTAAAACTCTCGTCATCAACCTAGACAAGTGGTAAATGTTTCAACAACTGCAACGAGGGGTGAAGTCTTATTATATTTAGAGGAACGTTTGAAACGAGGTGGTTTCTTCTAAACTTTCACACTCGTATTTCTTTTTGCTTTTTACCTGAGAAATTCAAGCTGTTGTGTGGCTGCATGTCCAAGTTTGACTCTGCATGACTTTGCACGTACCATGAACATGTAATATATTGTCGTACAAAAATATAATATGGCGTGTTTTAATTCTGAGAGAGCATTATAAAATGTGATTTGCATACTCAATTTATCTTGTGGTTTTTCCGTTTTTTTCCCCTGCGAACTGTTCGCCCAAGAACCCTTAGAAAGTATTGAAAAAGATGTTGTTCTTTTAAAATCAGTTGGCTGAAAATAGCTACCACACTTTGGAGTACGTATAAAAAAGGATATTTGGATTCTTCTCCTCCTTGCGCTTGGTTTTATGCTGCCTTTATCTTTGCACAACCGCTCAGCGAAAAGGCTACGATAAATTTACTTCTATACATGCTCAGTTTTAACAAAGTGGAATCTTTTCTTAACACTATTTCATAGCACAACTTTTTTTCACCTGTCAACGTTAGACTTCCCTAAACAATTCAAAATTAAAATTTTGCCCTTGGACAATTGCTGTGGGCACCTCAGGGAATTAGAAATGACCTTCCTTTTTATGAAAAATTGAACATGCTCGTGAGTCACGTCTGTTTATGGAGTGTTAATGATACGAAATGTTATTACTTTCTGAAGCGCGTAGATTATCAGTAACCAGCTCATGTTCCTTCTCCAGTAACACATAACGGCGAAGTGTTCACGTAACAGCAAAGTAAGATCGGCCATTAAAGCCCCCCCCCCCCACCGAATGAGTGTGTTTACATGAACTGTTCAAATATAAAGAAATTGTTGACATACAAAGCCGATGTAAAATACAATGGATTAAATTTTCGATACATTGTTGTTTGACAATCTACAGTAAGTGAAATGAAATGTTGCTACACTAAGATGTACCCATTTTTGTTCCCTTTTTCGAGCCTTTTCATAATTTTTTTTCTTATTATTATTTAATCACTCTCTATAGTTGGCTTCTCGGTCAATAATGATTAAGATAAAATACGTGTTAAACGGCTGGAGAAGAAAAAAAACGCCTTTCAGGGTATAAATATTTTATTTAACTTTATTTCAATTCTCGGCCGAAGAAGCCCAGGGAAATTTTATCATTCAGTCGTTCCATATTTGTAAAGTTTGCCTTACATGTCAACACCCTGATGGGGTGGTTCGCCTTTTAGGCTACAACGTTAACGGTGCCCCGTCGGGCCAAGAAGTCATGAAGCTTGAACTCAGCATGGAATTTAGAGCTGACCACCAGCAGAATTTTCGCTAGATTATTATATCGTAAAAACGTAGTTTATGCTGCTTAATTTACTCCCTAAACCTTTCTTTTGAAAGGGAGGAGTTTCTTAGACTCTGAGAACCCTTTGCAAGTAACTCCATTCTTTGAGTCGTCACGGATTATGCCCAAATTTCTCGTCACTAATATGTAAAGGCTTAACTGAAGTTTCAATTGAAAGTACAAGCCCCGATTAGGCTTCATGCACACCCTCTTGGTGGAACCCTTTTCCAGATTTCAAACACTTTTTCTTCGAACAGATCAGAGAATTAAATTTCCCGTTTTTGTCGGCCCTCAACGGAAGACGTGTATAGCTTTATCACGAAAGGGAATTCTTTAAAGTTTTATGTCTTTGCCACATGTTAAGGATTAAATACGAAAAAAAAAAAAGGATTACTGACGGCCCTTGCGGTTTCCATACGCGGCAACAGAAGCTTGACATTTAAACACATTTTTTAAACTACTCGATGAAAAGTTTTTCCGCATGGCAAAGTTATTCGTTATCAAAATTTAAAAGGAAGACAAAAGAGGTTACAAACCTTTAACACGGTTGATCTTCAATCTCGCTTCAATTCTGTGCGAGACTAAATAAGACTCTAATGCCGCAGATGTAAAAATGAGCTTAATTGTTCATAGAGCGACCTATGATTAGCCCACAATACACAGCAGCTGGAGACTTGGTATAATCCAACAAAATCCCTATTTTTATCTTCCCTAAGATACATAAATTCTAATGGAAAAAGTTTTTATCCTTTGAAAATGAATTTTCCATTTATAGAATGAAACGCTAATCGGTCAGTTACACCTCCTCCTTAATTCCATTGCCTAAAGCATCGTTTTGATAAAAAAAAAATTACAACTAATTTTATGTACAGTTATATTCGACTCCTCCAGGAAACTTATATATAAATCAAGTGATATCGGTAAATTTTCTGGTGTTGTTTTAAAAGTATCTGCAGAGATCTTGGGTCCAAAAAAATTATAAAGTTTTTTCCGTCAAGCTACGAAACTGGTCGAATTTTCGAACAGGAATATGTTATCTTGTCTTCATTACTTCGAGTCAAAGTTATTGGTTGATAGATCTTTTTGTTTAATACACCTCTGTCTTGTTGAGATAATAGATTATTCTAATTCACAATAACTTCAATAATTTAGCTGTTTTGTTGACAACAAACGCCCAATCGTTGTAACATTTCGTGACCATCCATTAAATTTCATATTAAGGAAGAGTCATATTCACTTACGGCAAAAACTAAATACAATAAAAAATGTGTGTTAGTGAGCAAAACCATTCGTGAAGAATGTTCATCTTATCTATGTTATTTTTATCACTCGCTTCAATCAAACATCATAATTTTATTTTAATTTTTTTTTCCTTCGACTGAGTTGCTGAAATTTAAACGTCAGATAAAAAAAAAAAAACTTTCTAGGAATTGTTTACGACGGCTAATGAATAAATGGCAATTTCAATTGTTCAACCCCCTTGGTTGATCAGCGAATTGACTGATGAAGATCCTAAGGTCGCATGAATGCTTTGGAATAGGCGTTTGGAAACCGGTGAACTTTGTAAGACAGACGGAGTTAAGTTGCTGCTTTTTATTACAACTGAATATTGTAGCTAATCATGATTGCATGACCGTGTCTATCAAAACATTTTAATCATTGGAGGTTCTTGTGCTACTGCGTTTTTCTGGTAATTTTTAACCCATCACCAAGGAAACGCCAACGGCTAATTAAGAATTCTCGCAGTAGCTGAAAGGAGCCATTTCACAGTTCCTTCATCTTGAAAAAGTTTCGCGTAAGCTTTTGAAGAGTGTAAATTCTAATTCGCGCCTAGCTTGAGCACAATCACTATTTATTTCAGCTTATTCTTTAATTCTTCGAAGTGACCTTGGATGTTTTCCTAACCTGGCAAACGTTTAGTTCTTTTCTTAAATCTTTCATTCCCAGGAGTGATCAAAGAGAAATTTCTCCCTTACATTATTGATACATTGATAAGCAGAAAGATGATGAGATGAGAGAAAACTATTAACTAGACGATATTGTTTGATATAACACCGTAAACGAAAAGAAATATAAAAGCAGTAAAGAAGTGAAATGGTCTGAGGTAATTACCAATGGGGCTTATACTACTCAACATATTGCTGCGTGAGTTCTGAAACATTTACAATGTTAGTGCACTTGCTAGCATTTCTTATGGCAATCGAATATAAACAATATTGATAATTGAAGTAACACTGACATTTCTGAGGAGCTTCCGATTTTTTTTTTAACCAAGTATATCATAACCTTATTCATCGAGAGCTCATTTTTTTCGTACCAGCTGAATGTTCTGTGAGACGAGCAGAAAATGAAATGAGACTATCTATCTTCGTGAGTTTAGGTTTAAATTTCACGTTTTTCATATTCATGCATAAACATGAGAACAATGGCAACATAAATTTTTAATTATTTAATACTGCTTGCGATGTTGTAAGAGAAGAAGAAAAAAAAAACATCGAAAATGTTTGCCAATCAACTGTCGTATAATAGCGTAGTTGATCTTGTCTGAGTTGTTCCTTATGATTAAAAAAAATGTGTTCTATTAGTTATGGTTTGCTACAGCCTTGATTATACATGATCAGTTTTAAAAAAAATTTTCGTGAAGAACAACAGGAAAAAATCAGCTGCAATCTTCCCATCTGGTACGATTTTAACAAACATTTACTGCGGAGCAGGTTAAATTATCTCATCAGCAACACAACCTATGTCCGGCAATTAGATCTTGCAGCATGTGATGTTTTCGACCTGATAATGAGGTGTATAAACATGAACGGTAAACGTTCAACTCTCTAAAGTGTATTGAATATACGTAGTAACTGCAGTAATATAGACTCTCAGTGTTCTATTAAGTTCGACCACGAATTCGAAGATCAGGAAGTTTTGTAAAATAACTTTTTTGTCTTACCCTGTGTAGTAGCTTTCTGTTGCATTTGTCATTCACCTCCCGTTTGAAAGGTTTCTTTTTTCTTCTTGTACTAATAGAGATCTTACAAAT